GTCCGATCCTGGTTTTTTCAACGCCGAAAGATTAGCAGAGGCAAATAACGGAATGTGAGGAAACATTTAAGTGGCCGTATCTAAAATGTAAAATTTTTTAACTCAATTCTACACATCATACTCACATCTTCCACCCGTTTATTGATCAGAAAGTCACACAGATCCCTTAAGTACTTCACACGGTTTGCTAAAGGACTGTTCTTGCCAATATCCTACATCAGTGCAATAGTAAGTCAAACACTAGAAACATTTTACAATCAATTTTTTTTTTTTCAGAGGAACACGCTCTATTCCTCATATACATTCAAATATGAGCAAAATAGCAAATACCTATTTACTTCAGCTCAGCTCATCTATTAAGCTCGCAACAAAATTTCACAGGGTATAGATAAAGCTTACCTGCAGCAGTTCATGGTGGAACACTCGATCGTCAGCTTTTGGACCCTCATAAACGCTACTTGGGATAGCATGGCCCTTTTTCACGCCAAAGAACTGCTTAACCTTCTGACGGAAGCTTTCACTGGCATTTTGTCTAGACATTTTCTTTACACGGCCCTACTAGAGCCAATACCTATCGAGAGAGGTCTTTTCTTAGTCTCTTGCCACTTTGGCCGCCATTAGAACAAACGATTACTCAGGGGAGAGTAGAAGGAGCTAACATCAAAATTGTCTGGGGAGTATAGGGGATGAAATTGACCAAAAATGGACGAACTTATGGAGAAACTGGACAATGCTTTCTCCAAGAATGTTTTTGTTAGAGGCCGGTTAAATTCAAGTGTGGAGCCAAAGAGTGACAAGGATTTAATTCGATATGTGGTCAAAGCTATGTAAGTGATTTCATGGGAATCTGTGAGGTAGTGTCTCATATTATGGATGAAAAAGTTAATGTTGGTTTTGACTTCGATCGACATCACGGTTTGGTCAAGATTATTTTTCATGGATTTCTTGATTTGTTCATTTTTAGGGCTATGGAGGCTTGTGCGGAAGAGAATAAAGCCGTTCACAGATGCATGAAACAAAGCTGGTTTAGTGCGTGTAGTGTAAAACAAAGAGAATACTGGAATTGTTACCGTAAAGCAACTGTAAGTTCACCGTTACCATATCAATTCTAACAGACTTAACAGTACACTTCTACCGTGTAATGAAACTTTGGACATGTTGCTTTGGCATCCGAGGTAAAGTGCTCGCTGAATGGAGGTTCAAATGGTGAATATCATCAAAGGGGCTATTTTCTTGACGTGGGAACTAGATGCTTAAACATGCGTGTGTGCTTCGACATTGTTGTGGAGTTCATCTCCTTAACTGCGGTTGATTATCCAGCTTAACAATGTCAGTACAGTTCCCTTTCTTCAGATGAATAGCTCATTCATTTGATAATTTATTTAAAAATTTTGTAATTCCATTTTAATTTGCAGATCAGGTTAAGGAAGGAATATGGAGTGTACTTGGATGATTGAAACTATTTAACTGCTAAATGGAATAAGAAAATATATATTTACAAAAATGCTGTGACCATGGAAGATAATCTGCAGAATCCAGATCAAAAATAACCAGCTCTCCACATGCCATAAATCTTTTGGCACCAACCTACAATTACTTTGAATTTCACAAAACTTCCCTCCTGGTAGTTGAAGAGAAGGGTCCAAAATATTGGTTAAATGTTTCTTTAGTTTTTTTGTTAAAAATATTGTAAAGCACAATATTAAAAACTGGATCATTTGATAGAGCTATTCGAGAGTTTTCATCGGCTTACCCACCTTGGGTTATGAGCCATTATACCATGCCTGCAGATGAAGACGAGTTAAACTAAAGGTATTTGTAAATTGTAACATTGGCTTTGTTTGTAAAAAAAAAGTTAGAGAGATATATATGTTATTCACCAGCCAAGGTTGGTCTGTATTGGGAAAAACTGTGCCTGAAGTCTTGGGCCTCAGATGGTACACAACACAGAGGGCACAGTTTTTCCCAATACAGACCAACCTTGGCTGGTGAATAACATTTTTATTTTTTTCCAAAACCTAACAAATGGTTGCAAAAAGAACCTGAATGATGAAGGGTTGTAATTACAACTAGATTCTTCATAAATGGAACAATTTATGGGCAAGTAGATGGTAGAGAAAACAAGGGCAATGCAAATGAAAGAGATAAGTTTTGCATCAAAACATTTTTATTTGCGTAATGATATTAAAAGGTGATTTAAAAGGCTTCCAAGAAAACTTCAAAACATTTTTTCAGGTACCGCCCACTGTGAGTGGGCCAGATGGGGAGAATACTGACCACTCTCAGAACCAGTCAGATTGCAGGATTTGTAGAATACTGCCCACTCATGAACTGAGAAAAAAATGGTTATTTTTTGGGGCTTTTTTAATAAAACAATAACTTCATTCAGGTGTGTTGGATATGAGATGATTATGTGGGCCAAGTTGGCTAACTACCATCTCATACCCAATGTATGCTCCTGGAATGATTGTTGATTAGAGCATAATAACATGGAGAATGTGTTATATAAATGTGTTATTATCATTATTGTGCATCAATTATCTCACACAATCCATCTGTGGTGTTACAGTAAATATGCAAGTAAGACTTATGACTGGAACCAGATGAAATATTAGCAATTGACACTTAATTTGTGGAGTGGATCTCTCTCTAGAAATTTTTGTTATATGTTATGTTTTGTTCTTGTGCTACTATTGCTGCATGGTTCCAGGCATTCAGTAAGCAAAACATAGAAAACTAAACAGATAGTGCCAAAGTATATGTAGAGGCTGAGCAAAAAAAGGAAGCGGTACAACCAAAACTTGTCTTGTTTTCCACTTAGCCACTACCATCCCACCATTTACTATTAATATTGCACTTTATTTTTGTTCTGCAAAAAGGTGGATGTCTCTTGAAATGGGTAAATGAAATTCACACTCAGAAAAGAATTTTTTTTTTTGGCAGATAATAAATATCTCCTCTGGAGGGCACACCTCAACAGATTTAGAAAGTGTCTCTTTATGAACTGTTTTCGTGCTTGTTTTCAATAAAAGAACAAGAGCTGAAGACAAAAAATTCAGAATAAAATACCATAGGCTTTATTGAAAGCTACCCCAGCTAACAGCTTGTTAAATAATGTTCAGCTCAATGGTTATTTGAGTGCCCAGCACTAATCCAACCACTAAAAATTTACTTAAAATATTCTTATCTTGATGGCACAGTTGACTCTTTTCGAAAACAAACAACTTTTCAAAATCTTCAAGGTACATCTCCAACAGCTTATGTACAACTGAGGTTAAATGATTGTGAAAATAAACAAAGGACCACAATCATTGCATAGATTACACGAGGCTTGAGATTTGAATGAAGGATGTTTAATGAAGGAGTCAAAAGTTGCAAAATTTCTTGCCAAAGGAATCTTACTAATACCATCCACTATTTACAGTTTTTGTACACATTAGGTAGGAAAAAGATTTATCTCCAAGGTGTCATGTGAAAGGAGAAGTCTGCCTCAGGCCAGAAACCACGTAAATTTTTATTGCCTTCAACTATATGTGTTTATACAGATTAAGCTCTTCATGCAGTTTGAGATTCTGTAATCAAATCTTAGAGAAATTAGTATACAGTGGTTACGTTGAAAGCAACTCAGTAATAGGGTTGACCTCAGCTGGTCTAGTTATCCTGAAAACAAGCACTATTGAAGTCAAGAGTTTCTTTTTGTGTCACTCAATGCTGCAATCTCCAAGAGATAAAAAAAAGGGAGAGGATTAAGACTGAGCACTTTACCAGTAAGCAGCGAGGTCACTATAAAGCAAGATTTAAGATTGAGGCATCTGTAGCATAAATTTTGGTGCATGTAAAGATAATTTTTGCAAAAGGTTTGGTTTCTGTTTGGGATCTAAGAATATGGCCAGTGTCAAACTTTTCAGTAGGAAGGAATAACAATCAGATGGTTTCTGGAGCATACCTCTCCTTAAAGACCCTGAGAAAATATAATTATCCTGAGCAAGATTAGACATAATGTAAACCTTGATAATAATAAGCCCTGAGGTTGAGGAATGTGCAATCAAGATATGCACATGAGTCAATTAATTTTGTCAGCTAAAAAAAAATACTAGATTCTTAAAAAACACAATGAAATCATAAACTGCCCAAAATCTAACTGTACATTAAATATGTATACATATCACTTACTGTCTGGAATAGAAAAACTCTGCCGTAGAAAAATACTCGTGATTATCTTCAAAATACCTCATGTCACACCAAAGTAACATTAAAAAATTTACACAAGCTTGATACTTTTTATATGAATTGCAGAGTAGCAAACAGCAGTAGCTCCTGGGAATAGTTAAGCTCATTCATGGCTAAACAAGCACAGGGTCATGTACACCCTTACAGCAATATTACCTATATACACTGTACTCAATACTTCAAATAGAGCTACTTTTTCATAAATATTTCCTTGACCAGAAAATAAAATAATTGGCCTCTAAAATACATGACTAATTAATATTCTCAAGAAGAAAAATAATGTTAAATAAAGCCACACAATGTTTTACAATGACACTCCCTAAGAAATGTTCCAGAGACCCTGAAGACAAGTATAAATAATAATAGTAATTATTTACTTCCACTAGAATTGTAAGTTGCTTGATGGTCGCAGTGTTGTGTGTTGTGTCTCCCCTGAAGATGAGTCATCATCTACATCACCAGTGTTCTTACCATCCTGAATCATTTTTTCCATCAAAAACCTCTTGTCTCTGCCCTCCTACAAATCAAACAGAATGCTTTGAGCATATTACATTTTCTTTCTGATGATTTCATAGTCCAGAGGTAAGTATATCCATAACATCCACCCCGTTTTTCTTTTGAAATGTTTGCCCCAGTCTCTTTGGGTATTCAGACAAGTAATCAAGAGCCTTGCAACATCCTTTCTTCTGACAAAAAACATGGAAAAATGTCACACTGATTGCCAGTCATCACATTTAGGTGTTTAAAAAAAGCCATTTAGTCAGCTGTGTAAGCATCTTTTTCCATTATTTTACCAGCACTGCTGGTCACATTTTTCCAACCAAACATTGATTTTAAGATTTTACATTCCTAAATGGTAACTTTGAAAATAAAAAATAAAAAATAAACTGATTGACTTACTGATTGACTGACTGGTTGACTGACTGACTTACTGCCTGACTGACCGATTGACTGACTGACTGACTGACTGACTGATTGACTGACTGATTGACTGCCTGACTGACTGATTGACTGGCTGACTGACTGATTGACTGACTAACTGACAGACTGATTGCCTGATTGACTGACTGACTGATTGACTGCTTACTGACTGACTGACCAACTGCTGACTGACTGACTGACTGCTTAACTGCTTGACTAACACAGCAGCTGATTGAAAGTTAGACCAGCTCCCTACCTACCTTGTCATGAATGGCTGACAAATTTACCATAGACAGTTGATGTACTTTTACAGTAGGTACTAGTAGAATCTCTATCAAACAAAATTAATTAACCTACCAGAACTAACTGGTCTTTCAGCATTTCAATCATGTGTAGATGAGACTTTGACATAGATCTGAAGTAGTACAACATCAAGCTACAAAATGAAAACATGTTAGTAAGATACATGTAAATTCTGTTTTTCAATTGTTTAAGACACAGTTGAACTCTAAACAATGGTAAAGTTATGATAATGCTGATGGTGCCTTGTAATAAATAAACCACCACTTGCATCTTCGTGAGAACACTTAATAGCCTACTTACCAGATTATCATCAGAATTGGGAAAATAAATGCTGCCGTACTCAGGTAATTTATAATTTCCTGGATTGCTTGTGGCCAAGTGCGAATCTCTTTAACCAAAACATCCAAAATTCTCTTATTTGGATCACAGTTAAAATTGCTAAAAAAGAGAAAAAAACTCATCAAAATTACATATAAAATAATCTGATTTCTTATATGATTTTTGCCTAAGTATGCTCTTGGAACATTACAGACAGCTTAAGTTATAAAGGGAGTCTCATAAATTAAGTTAAACATCACTTATTTAAATAATTCAAAGCTTCATGTTTATTACATCTTAATTTAATATTTTTGTTTTCTTAATAAAACAATACCTAAATGGTCCTTGACATGAAGGCCTCACCCTGGATAATAACAAAAAAAGATTTTTGCATTAGTTCACAAAATGTTTTGTGTTTCAGAAATTAACCCTTAACTCTCAAAAATGACCCAGACAGAATTTCTCCTTGCAATAGCACATAGACAAGTGATGAGAATAAGCTTTAAGACAGTTGATCCAATTCCAAATTTTCCAAACTAGCATCATGAGAATCCTATGGCTGACAGTAGACAGAATCAAAATAATTAGAACTTAGGAGTGAAAGGATAGGAGGTCAAAGTGACCTTTGAAGTTTTGAGGCAACAGCACTTAAATCATTCATTTTTAATAGTTGATAATCATGATAGCAAGATCTAATCTGTAGTCACAGTGAAAAAGGAACTGCACGCTTACACTAATGTCAAAGACTTAGAAAATTTGAATTGATGGCTTAAGATTGCACAGAAAAAAAAATCGCATTGATTTGAAAATGGCACACCTTGTTATTCCCCAACCAACAGCAATAAGACACATGAGGAAGGAGATCAGCAGTAAAACTGTAAACAAATAATTTGAGCGTGTTCCCTGATAAACCTTGTCTGATGGCTTGTTATTGTGCATCAAGGCAACCTTTAAAGAAGGGGAGTTGAAGATCATGAGTGTGTCTCAATTAAAGTATTTCTGACAACACACCTCATCAAGTGACCAATTAAAGCAACTCATTCGAAAACAATTTATTTTATCTTCATGAATCATGGTGATTAGATAACTAACAGACCTTTTCGATGTAAAACACCAGGAAAAGTTTAACAACACCCATGGCTGGCATGAGGGGGCTAAAGAAGGTTCCAATCCTGCAATCATTATGATATCAAATTAATTCACAAAAAAATGACACTTACAAACAATTTTAGTGTTTACTGGAGAAAGTTCATGAAATAATTTGTGTATCCAGGTGACTACCAGATAATCAGGGAGAGTTGGCATATATGAGCATATATGATGAAACGATATATGAATATATGATGAAACAGCAAAATTTTGTTAATAGTGATGTCATCTATGCATCTTTCCTCCAAATCCAGTAATTAAGAACCAAATAAAAGGCATGCACAATTCAACTTATTATACAAAACCTGATGAAAAACCAAAAAACTTACCAAATTAAACATTCACCATAAACAAGCTGTAAAACCTGTTTTGGAATGTCAAATTCAGGCAAGCCAAATTTCTTGAAACAGGATGTGTGCTTGTACAACAGTCTGACAAATCAAAAGGAAAATCAATGTAATTAAATGATTATCCAGTGTCATGATATGTAATTTGAAGAAACTAAACATCAACAAGTGAATTCACTTTTCAATATCATATGAGTTGTGAAGTTGTATGAAGCACTTGTTTTGCACTTTTCCTCAATAGACATGTGTAATGTTACAGAAGGCTCACCAGGTCATGTTTCTGGTTGCGATTGAATAAGTTTGATCCATTCACAATTTAATTTGCTTCTGTTTTAACATGCCCATTACTAACGTTTTTAATAATGACTGACAGCAGCCGAAGAAGAAATAAAAAATTGCATCAATTGGTTTTCAAACGATAACTTTTGTCAATGCAATCATTGATCAAATGGAAACATGGACTCTAGCAATTACCTCCAGATAGTTGTGCCCACAAGTGATACAGCAATGTGCAGAAAAAAGTCAATCCATATCAACATGTACATCTGTGATGCAATCTGGTTTTCCCAATTCTATTCAATCAATCAAGTGTACAATATTAGATGTAAAACCAAAATAGAGATGCAAAATGGAGTTCAGATCCAAGCCAAGTGGCCCACATCGCTAGACTAAGTGCTTATCCCAATTTATAGGAGTATTGTCACTTCCCCTAAGTGGGATGCTACTTTATCCAAGGTTACCCCCCTCCTCACCTCTGTCACTATTTTGTCAGTGTTCCACAAAAATTGGTTGGGTCCTATTTATACTTCTGAGTGGAGAGAGGCACTGTGAGAATCAAGTGTCTTGATTCTCAACACAAAGACTCAACACAAAGACCTGGCCTATGGTCTCCAACCTGCACCTTTCCATCCATAATCCAGTTTACCCTAACCACAAAGCCAACAAGGCTGCAAGAGATCTTCCAAAAAAATATTTGTTTCGACACAACAGGTCTATTTATAAATGGATAAAGGTGGTAAATTTCTAAAGAAACTATGGTGCTGCATCAGTGGGAGAGTATAACAGGGTAATTTAGTAAAATCAACTGAGTTGATAAGGTAAATTGGCCATTGTAAGAGTTTCGATGCTGAGGTTTCAAGCATTAGCTGTAAACTACGCTATTTTGAAAATGGATGCTAACCTGCTGGCAACATTTCTTTTCCTCCTTATTACACCTGGTTTCCACATCCACATAGAGTGTGATCATCAGTACAGCTATAGATGCTAACCTTAACAACACAGTCCTGCCAAAATTATTGGATAACATTTGTCACAGTTGTGCTAATAACTATTTCCAGCTACATTTAGTAATTGGTGATTTACTTTCATCAAAAATCAGAGGTAAGAAGCCAATTTGTTTTGGGTTACTTCTACTTGACCAACATATTGGGAAACACAAACATTTTAAGTGAAAAACAAAAAAACAAAAAAAATAGGCTAAAAAAAACCATTTTCTGAAAGATTCCATAAATTTTAATTAGCAACTTTGGTTGGCTTACTTCTTCTCACTGCCCATTTCTAAAAAATGCTTTTCAATTATAAATTACAGCAAAAATAAAGCCCTAAAATCTTTAAATTACATCTTACCTGAACAAGTTGATATTCACTTCAAAACGGGGACTCCAATCCTCAAACTTTGACAAAAAATTGAAGATCAGTGGTAAAAGGAAGTTCAAAAAGGTGATCGTCAGTGATGGTGAAAAGTTTAATACTGTCCCCAAAAATGTATTGATTTCTGTGGCTGCAATTTGATTTTCCTGAATAAAGAAATAACAAATGAATAAATAAACTTTAAAGTGAACTCTGGATCCAGTGGACACCCCTGGGATTCTTACCAATGCCCTCTTAACACAGGTTATACAAAAAAGTTATTCTAACCCTCCCTCACCCCCTCTTCCCTAAAAGAGGAAGCCCTTTTGAGTTGAAAACCAGTCCAACTATGATTCCAGAGGTCTTGGATTCAAGTTTGTTCTACTTGGATCACCAGAGATTGATGTCTGAGTAATCCTTTGTTCAATTCCTCAACCACTCTTAGACATACACAATAGCTAGTGTGATATGCCTCTGCCCGTGAGGGCTCTTAATGATCCAGTTACACATATGATTGGTTTGTAGTAATTAGTTTTTAATCAGTGGGCTACAAAGAAAACTGATGGGTCAAGCCCCTTGTACAGGTTAAGTTGACAATATGAGGGAAGGGAAGCCAGATTCAGCACAAGGGTTTTATAACTGCTCAGCACACTTTTCACTGTGAGCAAATTTTTTCCAACTGTAACAGCTACATGTAACTATTAAATACCTTTAAACCCAGTAAATAACAAGTAAATAACAAGTAAATAACAAGTAAATACATTACACTGGGACTGAATGTAGGATATCATTTCCTTCCTCTCAATATTACACTGACTTATGTTGAAGAGAATACTTACAGGGTTTGTAGAAACAGCCACTATTGTAATGATGGCAAATACAGCTCCACCTAGTGACACTGTCACAACTAAATTGATGAGAAACCTCACAGTATACAGGCAACATTTATCACCAGTAGTTCGATTTTGAACCTTTGCTAGTCTCTTGTCCTCTTCTAATTCTGCCTGTAAGGAATAGAGGCAACATACAGTAAATAAATCAACTGCAAATAAACACTGCCCACAAGCAAATTGGTCCACAGTAGGTTATCTAGGATCCAGGTTCAGTTTATCACTTCTAAAGCACAGAATTCAAGACTATGTGGAGAAAGAGGACAAAGATTCTGTTAACATGAACAAGACACACTTGGGAATTCTGCAAATGGGTATTCAGAAAATTGCAGAAAGACAGGCAGTCCAGTACATGAGAAACATAGGGAAGGTCAGTTTGTCATCTTGAAAGGTTAGAAAGAGCATGATTGTCAATATTTTTACAAGTATGCAATAATCAGTTTTCCCTTTGCATCCCTAGATTTTATTTCACACCTGTGGCAAAATTCATGTTTTAAGTTTGCAGTTTTATGGTGGGGATCAGGAATCTCAACATCTTGAACTGTTATCAAGCACATACCTTGACAGTTTGTACTATGTTCTGACTCTTTATCTTAGCCGTGTTTTCATCACTTATGCAGTAATCCCACGAGGCAAACACTTTGTTGCAGAAGGAGGAGGTAGTTCCACCACTTTCAATATAGCTTTGCTGGAAACTTTTTGCTAAACTAAAGAAATGAAAAACACAACTTCTGTATGAATATATTTTACACTGGGTATCTTCCTTAATATCAGCTGGAGGCTTTAACCCTTGTGCCTCTAGGGGGTAACTGATTGAAAGCACAATCCCTCTTCATCATATAAATGCATTTTCAAACACAAAGGTGATGAAGATAAAGAAAAATATCAAGTCGGGATATATATTATATTTAACACTTAATCCTCAGAGTTACTAACAATAACTAAAATTCAATAAGTGCATAGCAGTCACAGCATAAAGAACTGTTATTTAGAGTTGAGAAATGAAAGGGTTAAAACAACATGTGATAATTGGTTACTTGGAAATCATTGATGTCTAAAGTATCTCCGTGCGCTCTAAAATTTGAGCTGCTTTAATTTACAGGAATTACATGAACACAATGGAGTACAAACAAACATGCTTTCACTTGCTACTGAATCTCCATCCACTTCATGCAAGCTCTCTTGAAGCTTGTGGCTAAGAGAAACCATAAAAAGCTTCAATAACAACAATTAGACTGTATTATACAAAAGTTGAAAATGCACTGCTTACTTCCGAACCATAAGAAGGAGGCTGCAAAAGAAATATGCACCTCCAACCATGAGGTAAGCTAGTGGAAGGTCATACTTGATTTCTTCCTCTGATAACAATTCTGTGGCTGGGTATCCAGCATAAAACATGAGGGTTGTGTTAATCCAGCCCTGAGGAAAACAATAGCATGTTCAGCCAAACAAGTTTTAACCATTCAACTCCCATGACTGACCAGGACTAACTTTCTCCTTACAATACCAATTACAATTATTTTATCAAGTGTTCTGTTGACAAGAAATTAAAAAAAAAGAGAAAACATTATAATAAATAAGGGGATTATTAGTTGATTCAGAATTGTAAGGCAGACAGTGAGAAAAAATTATTGATGAGATCTTGCGAGTGAAAGGGTTGATTCAGTTTATAACCAGCAAAGGTCAGCACCAAGTCATGTCTAAGTTTAAATCTTAGCTAGCTGGTAATTGACTCTTTTGTTGTGCCTCTCTCCAAGCTTTAAGTATAAATGGTTAACAGTGACCTGTGTGGCAAACTTAACAAATTGCTAGTGGGAGATGAGGTGAGTCACAAGAAGTACATGTAACAACTGAACTCAAAATCATTTCAAAGCATGCACCACATAGGAGAACTTAGAGAAGGTACTGCAGAAATCGGTTCAGAGACTCCAAAGATGTATCCAAACAAAATGAGTTATATTTTAAAAACCAACCTGCATGAAAAGCCACAAGGCTGCATCAAAACAAAACAAGTTCCCTATAACAACTCTAATTTGAAATTTACTCATTTTTCAAATTTGAGCTGGCATTTTTACTCAGTTTAATTTATGAATATTATCACCTTATATTGTGAATGCATCAAAATTCCTACCTGTCCTGTGACAAAGTCAAAAAGTTTGTCTGCTATGCTGTTTGAAACACTCCGTGCATTAAGTGCATTAAAGTCACACCAGTTTGTACTGGCTTGTGCAGTAGTATTCTTAATGACTATTGCTGGAAGTGAAACTAGTCCAAACTCCAGGAAAAAGATGACCAAGTTCAAAAACATTAACCACTTCAGGAAGAGAAAAAATGACACAACTCCATTTCCAAAACGACCTGAGAAAATACAGAACATACACTTCATTAAAGTATGCCATTAATTTTAAGCTGAAGTAGAGTAAAGAGTTTGTCTAGGGCGAGAAGTTTATCCCCTTAAACTCCATCTCCTTGGTACATTCCCCAGGTATCTAACAAATGCCTTAAAAATGTATCAAAGTTTGTTGAGAGAGGCAGACTGAAATTCTCTGGATGAAAATGAGATGATTGCCAGCTGTATTTTAGCAACACACAACAGGCACTTCAGGGATTATGACTCAAATAAACATTGTTTTAAGTACTTATTTCAATTATGACTTGTTTCTGTTTCTTGCCTTGCCAATTGATAGACAGGAAGCTTAGAAGCCCCACATTCAAAGTTATACAAAGGACTGAAAATGAAATGTCATCTTTAAGCCATCTTACTTAAGACTTCAGCCACAATCCATAATTTCTTAGCTACAACCCTGAATAACATGAAGGACAAAATGATCTAAAAGCTTGCATCCAATCTATTTACAACTTCTCCTGAATTGATACAATGTCATGCAAAAAGGAGATGAGAATTCCAAACTCCATAATAATCAGATGTAACAAATACAATCTTGATATAAATCTGAAATTTTCATTGCTGGCAGAGACCGGTACATGAAAATAAATGGTACATGTAGCTTTGTGGAGGAAATGTCTCTGGCCTGGGTTGTTCAAAGCTGGGTTGACCCTTTACACCCTAACATCAGTATCTGTATTCTCCATACCATTCTCTGTACATTTACTAAGGTGCTGACAAGGAGAATTTGTCTAGCAATCAAGAGTTTCTTTAATTGGTGGTTATTTCCTTTATTTTCATGACCTTAATGTGTGATTCTGTGGTGATATTGTTAGGAGAAATTAGATGCTGGTCACTTTTAAGGGTTTAGATGGTTAAGATAACCCAGGGTTAGTGTGAAATCTGAAAGCTTCAAAAGAAACTTCAATACCATTCCTTTTGGTTACAATTTGATGATTGGATACCTTAAAAGACTTTAGGACATTTAGGACTGAAAAAAGGCTTTTGACCAAAGGAATAAAGAGACCCGGGCCAGGTTGTTCAAAACACAATTAACCTAACACAGGATTAGTATAATTTTCAACTGAGTTTAATAGCTTTGCCAAGGGATTTTTCTTTTGTATTTTTTCCAGTTATTTTCAAGTCATACTGAAATAAAATCCAACAAAACCTTAGCCCTTAATTTTTATGCACTCTTCAAATAACCAAGGTTAACTTTTAATATAAGATTAATGTTAACCTCCTTTCAAACAACCTGGCCCCGGATTAAATTTTAACCCTGGGTTAGTCCTAATGAGACTTTGAACAACCAGGTACAGGAGTTTAAGGGATGAGCATTTGAGATAAAGTCCATTTCCTTGACAGCCTTTTACCATATCAGCAATGTTTAAGAGGACTAGTTATAGGGTGTGCAAGTGTTGTAAAAATTATTTAATATATTGATTTCCTATTTGTAATAAAGAGAATTTAACTAAAATCTTTCTCTATTTCTTTATCAAGCTCAAAACTCACCATCTTTCTTATTCTATTTACAAACATTACCAACATTGCTGATCTATAATCATATTGAGTGCTGTACATGAACTTCTCAATGGGCTTTGCTCACCATAGTCTCTGAGGCTCAGTGGTAGAGCCTTGGAGCATGGAATCTGAAGGACTGAGGTTTGATTCCTCATGGAGACTCAGAATTTTTCCTTTGTCCCAAACAAGATGAAAAGACATTTTTCTTTAAAAAAATTTCCTACATCTTTTTAATCCTTTAACTCCCATGAGTGACCAAGACAGAATTTCTCCTCACAATATCAATTATAATATCAATCAGAAAAGTGATGAGAATAAAGAAAAATATAAATTTGGAGATAATTAGTTGATCCAATACTAAATTCTCTGAACTAACATTATAAGCATTGTGTGGTTGACAGTAAGGAGAATTACAAATTTGATCTGGGAGTTAAAGAGTTAATAAATGATCAGGTTTGTTCTCACCTTCCACTTCCTTTAAAGGACCTTTCCAAAGTTCAAGATCTTGACTCCATTCAGAGATTGAAGATGTGGTTGATTGCCAGAACTGTACAGAATAAGAATATAAAAAATGACCATGACCATCAAAATTTGCTTTGGTGTGTGATACTTTCTTTATAAAATTTAATTATTAAAATAGTTATTGTTAAGATCGGGAATACATCTAGAGTTTTTCAGAAAATATTTTTAATACACAGCCATAAACAACACCTCCGTAACACCATAAAGCGTTCCGAAAAAGCTTGTCACAAGATCAACATCTGGATGGACAATTACAATAGTGATGGGTGAGAGGGACATGAGTGAAAACAAAATTGTTCCAATCAAATTTTAAGTAAAAAATATAATCATGCATTAGTTATTAAAAAAGAGTAAAGGCTATGCTTAGAAAAAAGAGGTTTTCTTTGGTGTGCTAAAAGGAATTTTTGCATCTCCAAAGAGTTCCCCCCCTCCACCTCAATCCCTCTTTGAAGGGTCCACTTCCCTTAAACAGACTTAATAATAAAATACATTTTCCATATCTAACCATTGCAACTCGTAACTTGAATGCTTTCCATCTTGAGATACGTTTTTGAGTTTTCATAGTTCGCATTGACCTCCTGATAATGCAAGAAACAAAAGTATTAGTAACTAATTCTCTGCATCACTTTTAAATGTAAGAATTGTAAAACGGCAGACAGGACACCAGCAATAGTCTGAAGTGGTAAGCCTCTTCAAAAGAGATTCAGGATGTCAGGGTTGTAACTAAGAAATTAGGGTGCCCATTGAAATTCCATGTGATGCAGCTCTGAAAGCTGGCACACAATAATTGTGAGAGCAAAGACTCAGAAGTGCTCACTGTGCTTTACTGAGCAATTCCTGCTTCTTAGCCAGAAGCCAATGCTTTAAGTAACAACCATGGCACTTTTTTTGAGAGCTTTCCATTATTTTTGTAAACATATCAAAAGAATGGTGTATAAATTTTAGACACTGACTGATCTGGCTACAAAATTCTGATTAGTAATGGTAATTGAATTGAGTAGAGTGCAATTTGGTCTGAAATAATATACATGATTTCAAAATCAAACAAGAGTGCAGCACAAGTTTGATTTGACATCACACACATCCATTTTGACATTGCAAAATTAACTTGCCCAGATAAAGGATTATTTTGTCTGTAAAAATGCTTATTTGATCTGGTAGTGAGCTAGTTTGTAGAAAGTTGCAAATTAAAGTTGTTTTTCACTTTCTTGCAATTTGATTGGTTTCTGTAAACAAGCAATTGGTTATTGTATTTTAATACAACTTCCTTGTTGGCTGGGAAATTGAGAATGAATGAATGAATGAATGAATCCCACTTGTAAGAGCCAGTTGCATTAGAAGGATCTCCAGCAATTTCAAAATGGCTGTAATAAAGGTTAGTGAGAGAATTCCCTCTTCGAATGTTCTCAGCTGACTGTAGTCAATTCCTTATACTACTGGCTATGATATTAGTGCCCTTGGATTCAGTGTTGCCTGAAGCTTAACCCTTTAACTCCCAGAAGTGATTAACATAAAACTTCTCCCTTCAATATCCATACATTCTTCAGCAAACAGGTAATGAGAATATTCAAACTTATCAAGTAGAAGCTGCTATCTTGATCAGCACCAAGTTCTCATAACTAATTTACAAGGAAATGTGTGGCAGCTACCGGGGAGAATTGACAATCAGATCTTGGGAGTTAAAGGGTTAAAGTTGTCTCAACCTCATCCAACTGGCACTGACCAAACAGCACAAGTCAGATCTCCCAGATACTGGAAAAGAATCCTTCCTATGAGACTTGTGAGGATGCAGACATTAGACCAGACTAGTTTGATGTGAAATTAATGAACTGAATACTAAAAAAAATGAATATGGAAGCGATCTTCGCAGTAATTTTAAAAGTTTTCGCTTCAAATCACATTCACTATGATTTAAAACCCAAATAAATAATTCTTCCCAGCTTCTCAATTCAAAATAAACTCCTGTCATTTGGAAATCTAATAATAATCATGAATATGATACTCTGATCTGACAATTGCGTCTAACACTAACGGATGCTAGTTAATATTTATCACCACTGACAATACTCTCACATAACGAAGTATAACCCAGTACAAAGTAATATTATTTGGCGTATACGATCATACTGAAACTGGCCCAAACATGAATTATCCGGAAACATTTTGCAAAACCGTTTTCGAACATCATAAACGAATACTGAAACGTTTACAATCGGCAAGTCCAGACATTCTTCAAATACTGCAAGATTAGGCTGACAGTAAATATAAATTCTTTGTGCTCATGTAAACATAATAAGTTATATTTTCATAAGTACTCAAGGGATTTGAGAGATGAAATCATTCTTAAAAGGCTCACATTTAAAATGAACCGATGTTTGAAGCCCCTCATAAGAGCTGCAGTAGAAAACGGTGGCACGAAAGCACATTGATATGCAGCATTTGTTCACGGTTACTAATCCTCTCGTGAATTAATTTATTGTTGTGCCAGCAGAGCGACGACAGATAGATAACTTGTACACGCAACCACTTCTTCGTTCAACGAACGACAAACTTAAAATTTCAATTAGCCTAAAGATAGTACCGCTAGGTACTTAAGGTAACAAAGTACTCTACATATTTCCTGCCGCTGAATATCAGTAACTGAAAACTTAAACCTCACAAAAAAAAAGTGTAACATACATGATTAATTTTCTAAGCTTATCGCAGCAATGCCGAACAAGAAATTTTAAATTACGTTCATTAACATCCCTTACTGCTGGACGAAATTCACCAATACTGTCTGAACTCAGAAAAACCTTAGGTTCCTTTTTCGACAGGAACCTGACTAAACACCAAAAGATATTAAAATCACTTACTTATAGCGTCGTTTCGCAGACATCGGTTGAGCAAGTTCTTTTGGGCTTGCCATGTCGTCTTCCTCATCGTTATAATCCTCAATGTTTAATACCTCAACATCTTGATTTGCTCTCATGGATGCTCTCGTAACAGTACCTCTTCTTCTAGTGCTTGCGTTATGCAAGGATCTCTGGGCGCTGCGGCTGGGAAGGTTCCGAAAGCTTCTATTAATCGACCTCTGTGTCTCGGCATCATCTTCCATGCCTTCGTATGGATCTTCAAACAAATTGTACAGACTTCAGTGGAGAAGACACGAAGCTTGAGGGGAAGGATTACATAACGGTTTTTCCCGAGATACTGAGCGACAACAGACATAGAAACAAGGCAAAAACTCGATAATTCAAAACAACTCCAAGATTACTCACAGTTAGATCCTCGAGATCCCATTTCCAGCATCTCTTGCGAGTTAGACATCGCGTCGAGACCAGGGGACACGCGACCAGTCATATCCAAGAATGAAGAATCTAAATTGATCGTAGAGTTCGTATCATCCCCAAGGATAACGAAAATCTGCCAAGACAAGGCGCGACGATATAAAGTTGGCTCCTCATTTTTATTTGTTACTTCCTGAAACGTGATAAATCTTTCGCAAAGAAGTGGTTTGCGCTTGTGCTTACTAAAACACCGTAGCTGATTGGTTCTGCGAAATGCCACTTAAAGTGAGGGATGTTGATTGGCTGATGATACTGTGCACAACTGACGCCCTCCGACCTCCATGGTCGCCGTGGTCACGCTTGACAAAAAGTCTAAGATCACTTATTCTCTTACGAAAGTCGCCCTTATTTGATCAGTGAGTCAATGAAAACTTCACAAGTAGAAGCCAAAACAATGCTGAAATCTTCATTAGGAAGGCCAAATAAAATCTTCAGATAGTACATCTTGTTTATACGAGAGCAGATTGGGTTTACTCGAATTATACCGTGATCAACTACGTCATATTTTTGTTTAAACATGAAGAGGAAGATCTGTCGTCAAAACGCAAATATTTTCCTACAGTCAATCTAATGTTTTGAAATTGGTATTACACAAGGAAAAATAAAACACTCTTTGGAGGTGTTCATCAGGTCACTGATCCAATATCGAACGCTTTCAGTGACATTTCCCGTTTTCGATGGAAAACCGACAACCTCAAAACAAGGATTCAAGTCTTGTATTCAAAAATGGAAATGATCAAACCAAGCCTAAATGAAACGTTGACTCAAGACTCGACGGCAAAAAACAGGTCAAATGATACAGCAACCGATGTGCACCGGTTGCTGTAAATGACAAGAAGTGAAAAGTAAAGACAGATGGCTAGGTAAATTTATGTGAACTTACATCAGTTAACTTTCAAAATAATAATTAAAAACTCAAGTTGTCAGGTAAACTTCACAGACTGCGTATGACATTTTGCGACTTAAACTACACGACGTTTTCCTTAGTGACTCCACGTTTTACTCACGCAGGAAATTCGTGTTGCGGATACGTACGTCATATAGTATTATGTCAGAGAACAAAAATTTATCCTTTTTCTTAAGCATTGACTTCTTTTGTTTTATTATTGGCACGAAACTTTGAAATCGATTTTTCGCCATCACCATGGCAACCTTTGTTTTGAACAAAAACTTTTCTTGCGTTTCATTGATTTCTTAATTTGGAAAAATTGCCTATTTGCATTTTAGAAGTTGTTATTGAACAGTATTTCACCTATTGCCAGATTTCGTGAAAACATATCTGAGATCTCACTGTTCAGTCATATCCTCCCCCTCATTCATCCTTATAGACAAACACATACAAAAAAAAAACCTCTATACTAACAAATGAAGCTCTTTATTTCATTAGAAATGCCGCCTACAACATTTGTCAAAATGAGTTTGCATGCGTATAATATTTAGAGAGACCAGGAGACTTATGTCGCTTACTCGTTAATAATTTAAGAGACTAAAACAGGCCATTGTATGTAAAACTGCAAATAAATATCCTATTCAGAAAAAGTCAACATATTTAAGGGAAATAAACGCCTATGTTGTCGACGATTTGAAGACATCATTCAATATCAGGCCTGATTCAATATCATATACAATCTATACAAGGTATCAATGAATTTTCAGGACCGCAATTTTCCAAACGGAATGAACTTAATTAGGAATTACGGCAAAAACTCTGTTTTATTGTTTTGCTCACCAAAAAAAAAAATGGTCACTTTGCATGTTTTGGTAATGATGGGCGAAACGTTGGCCTACATAAGTTTTCATCAAGTTATGTTCATCAAAATATGTTATAAACAAATAATAATTTATTCATTCATCACTCCTACACGCAAGTTAGTGCTTATACTTTTATCTTTACTATTCTGATGTCGAAAGATCGAATTATACATCTAGAAAAATATACAAATAAAAGCAACTATAAAAGTGGCTAAATATCTATATTTGAACATTCCTCGGCACTCGGTTATGGTATATTTGAAAAATATATATTTTTATGAAATCCCTGCATTTTTAATAGCATCGAGTTGAAAGATAATTCTGCGAATGGATCAGTTACTTTCAATATATATATATATATATCTTTTTTTGAAAAAAACAAAATGTTCACTTCTGTGGATTTTTTATGTTGCGTTTTCGTGAAAAATAATTTTAATTGAAGTTTGCCTTAATGAAAAAAAATTTGTTTAATATTTTGAACGGGTATTAAAACAAAATTAAAAAAAGGTTGCTCGCTTGGCAAGTTGCCATATGTTTTGTAATGTAGTTAATTGTTGTACTTAATTTGAACATTCTGAACTTTTATCTTAGCTCTAAGAGTATTTTTTCTGCCTATAGATCTTTTCACCTCGATCGACGTGTTTTCCCCGGATAAGCTCTCCTGATATCTCACGTCTGTTGATCTTACTTGAAGGCTTCGAGTAGGAGGAGTTGGCTCACTTCCCAGTCTCCCCGCTTAGTGGTAAGCGGCGAGCCAGGAATTAATAGCGTAAACTACATTAAACTACATGGAATTGATGCTTGTAGGTAACCTTTCTGTGAGAAATAGTGTGAAACGACAACCTTTAAACTATTGTTTTTACGAAATTTTATCTCACAACTTCACGAGAGAAATAAATACTCAAACAAATCAAGTCAAACCACGAAAGAAAGCCCTGTAATGGTTAATTCGCTTTACGTTCAAAGTTTATCGGTAGACCTCGCTTCCATGTGCTCGATCCAGTTTTCTGGCCCAATCATGGCAACTGAAAAGTGATCATATTATGAGACGATAAGAAAGATAGAGTGCTCTTTCGCGTATCAGTCGTTAACTCTGAATCCAAGGTGACCGTCCTCTGAATTTTCCCCAGAAACGGGTCTGCACAGACTGAGAGAATCATCAGCTCGTGGATGTAGTCTGAAGATTACGCCTCATTCTCTAGAATAGCAACCAATGTATTGAATGGTCTTCATTTAGGAGAGCTGGCTTTCAGTTTTCAGGGATGAACGGGTTAAAAAAAGCTGTCGGGTGGTGCTAGTGAATCTCTTTGCTTATCACTGACCACCGTAGGATGGACAGCTTTAGTGCTTTTTCGTTCAGCCTCTTCGTATCGGTAAAGTTTCTCCTCGAGCTTTCTCTTGTCTCTACCCTCCTGAAATATGAAACGGATATCTTTTTGTTATATTTATGAAAAGTATGTATGATATCATGAAACATGAAAAAGTTGAGGGCCAATATAGTGCACTTACAGATTGATGAAGAGATCTGGAAAAAAGCTTTTATCGACCCTGAGTCCTTCCGAGAACTTCAAGGAGGGAGCGCAGGCCCATTTTCCAAAAAGACAAATGGTTTTTGAGCCCAGGCATCAATACAGATCATGCAACACATTGTCTTGGCCACGACTCGAAGCTGGACTCTTCAATCTAATTGCAGCGCTAGCTAAGCAAGATCTTTGATAAATTCAGAATTCAAAGAGGCAATAAGAGCGTTACACCGAATTTAGCAACATTTTTACCGACATACCAATGCCAACTGATCCTTGAGGGTTTCAATAGTTTGTAAAAGAGAAAGAGCCATGGATCTGAAGTAGTACAACAGTAAACTGTGAAAGAGAAAAATACAAGTGTATAAACTCGACTTTAAATTAGGGAAGGAGGACGGGGACAGGGAAGGGAAGCTTAGAGAGCCTTACGGCTGGATGAAGACATTGACCAATCATAACATAGGAAAACTACACTGTGAATTAATTAGACGGCAAACGATAGGTGAAGACTGAGAGACTCCGATCCCCTGCTTGGACTTTACACAGTTGATTGTTGACATAGGATTGAAGTTGAATTCAGGAAAGTGAATAATGAGAGAACAATGAGTCAATCATAAATATATCAGTTTTAACTGGTGAAAAAGTAAAATTGTACGATTTCCTTTAACCAATGGGAGTCAACTGTCATTTTTTGTTCTGTATTATCCAATAGGTTCAAGTTAAGGTCTTTTTAAACTGGATGCTCTAACGAATTACTCAGATGTTCAAAATCACTGCAATTTCGATTTTAAAAAAAATTGTATGATTGGACGCAGCCATTTAATTCTCACCCGAAAAACCGCACAACCGCGTTTCTCGAGTTCGTTTTTCTTAGATTGATACAACTGTCAGTTTTCGCCGCTGAAGAAAATTTCATACTTTCTCTTTCAGAACTATTTGCTGTTCACGAAAACAAATGCCTTACAGGCTACGCTGTTAAAAAGCTCAAATCTCCCAGCTTGATGATATGCAACCATTCGTGCCTCAGAAACTCGTGGTGTATTTCAACAAACTTCAAAGAATCATCCCTGGAAATTGGCAAAGGAACTTGTGAACTAAATGAACACGGAGAAGACACAGAGTTGGAAGATGAACAAGGAGTTACTTTCTCCATAGTCCAAAAGGTAAAATAAAATGGACGAAAGGAATGAATTTACACCAACGTGAAAAACCTGACGATAGTGCTAGATCAGTGGCGTTGCAGATGAAATACAAATCAGATTTTTTTCAAGAGATTTTAAACTGTGTAATCTCTTGGTTTTTCCTTTAAACAAAAAAGAAGTAAAAGAAGGAGACGGAGATAAAAGAAAAATATTTTAGTCCAAATGGCAAGAGTCGTTTTGCCATGTAAAATCGAAGAAGTTTTGGATAATTAAACTACTTGCCTTACTGTAATACAAAATATGGCATCTCCTGAAAATTGCTCTACAGTCTAGACCAAACAGATGGGTTTTGAAAAGAAAATCCAATGGTACACCTAGAAAAACTACATTTTCTAGACAATACGTTTTCCAAAGGGCTCACTGTTGAAAAACGAAAAATAATTTATGTGAATAGAGCCACCTGTTTCTGGTTCCACAGTTTACCTGCCTTGTAAATCTCATAATTGGTCAACTGACCTGTTTATCGACCCACCTCAAGATGTTTTTTTTCTAGCATTCAATGTTTAACAAAACACGGCGGGTACAGTTTTAAGCGTTGATCTTAGCGTATGATCGTCGGAGTGAGGTTAGTCTCAGAGAGAAATGTCATAGATGACGGTGAGGGATAAATTTATCATCAGATTGTTAGTAACACGATCGAGTTTTGTCAAGTTTGGCCATATTGCCTTTTTATGTGTAAGACGGAACTGCCGTTCTTCGTTTGTGATCTGTAAATAAAGTCAAGTTTTTCTCTTCTGTTCCTTGTTTATACATGTAACTCATTATCTCTATTTAAAAAGCGGTGTCCAGAGATTGTATCCGTGTTTCTAAACCCTCCACAATGTAGGTGGTTAAACCAAAATTTGTCGAATGGCGGTACAAATGTATTAATCTAGGGCATGATAAGACTTATAGGATACGAACTATCCGAGAAACCGATAATACCAATAGAGAATCATTACTTAATCGATAAACTAATTAGAATAAATCAAATTTCATGATTCCACTTTTTCCAGTCCAAAAATACCGTGCAATTATCACCGATATTCCTGACACCTCTCTACTTATGTTACACGTGAGGATGATAGATGATATATATATATGTATAAACTTACCAAACTACTGTCAGGACAGGAAAAATAAAAGTTACTGTCGTAACAAAGTTGATGATATCTTGCACTACTGATGGCCACGTTGAAATCTCCTTTGTGAGAACCTGGTACATTCTCGCATCTGCGTTGCAGTTTGCATTGCTGAAAGACACAGAGAATTATGAAAAAAATAATAAGTAGCTTAGCTCGCGAACCTTTCGTGGTTAAGCTTGTCGTGATCTTCTCCTCGTGGTAGTTGCCGTAAAGCAATCAATCCTTACTTATTATTATTCTAACATTGATATTAGCTTTTGTATTAGCTACGCGTTTACACCGCATTGGGCAACGAAAGTATCAAAATTTGAGCATACGAATAGAGATTTAGGAGAAATAGTGTGAGAGCAAGACAGTGATCTCCATCGAAAAAAATCTGCGCTTTTATATTAAAGCACTTGGAAACTGGCAACGAGTAACTGCCATTTCTAAGGGGGGAATCAGACACGCCTAAATTAGTTTTAAACTCACGAACCTCGGCGTTTTTACAAATAAAGTTGATCGAAACCAATTCGTTTACTTTCGTACCTGAAAGGTCCAAGACATGATGGCCTCATGCTGAAAAAAAAAATGAAACAAATTAGTGAATTAAATGGAACAATCGATATTTATGCGCTTTTGAGCGTAAAATCCAAAAAATTTTGAGCAAAAAGAAAAGTTTTGCGTTTGCTCTTAAGGAGACTGTGATGTCAGCCACCCACGTAAGTATAATAATCTCAGTTAGTTAATAATTAGAACTAAGACTAAAGAGATAATGCTCTAAAGGTTTCCTCAGGCTCGTTTTTCCTCACTTTCGAAACCTTTTCGGAACTCTTCGTTCTCATCAGTGTTTCGGGCATGTTAGTATGGATGATATGCTGTGAAAACGCACCAGGAAGAATCTCAAACCAAGAGACAGTATAGTGTCGCCCTGAAGGAAATTTCTTAACACAGTCATTCTAGAAGAAGAGTAATCCTTTCCAGAGCGCGATTGTGATTGACAAACAATAAATGCATTTTGTTAACATACCATTTCCGTCAAAGGAGGGATTATTGGAAAGGCTTGATGCTATTCATGAGAAGTTTCCTTTTTAAAAATGCTAATTAAGATAGGTAAACAAATAAATGATCAGAGATAACAGTCTAATGAAACGAAGAAGTTAATTGTTGATACCTAACTTACCTAGCTACGCCCCAGCCGATGATTCCAAGGCACATGAAGAATGAGATTAGCAGCAAGGCTGTAAAGAGATAATTTGAACGGGTTGCCTTATAAACCCTCTCTGACGGCCTGTAGTTGAACATCACAGCAATCTTTAAAGATAAAACGTGGTGCAGTCTTATGATGAGAACATGGACGTGTTCATGCAGGGCATCCACCCTTATCTAGGGACACATTAAAAAAGGGGTCTATTCAATCAGTCATCTTCTTGGTCCTTTTCTGAGCATGTCACGTTAAGACGTCTAAGTCACATTTTTTTTGGAAAACGAAAGAGTAATGATACTCCTTCAAAATCATTAAGGAACAATACGCGGAAACCAGTGGACCTCATAGAAGAAATACAGGTGATGTGCCGAATAGAGTGCTGTATGTCTATGCCGTTGACTTAAGTGAGCCCGCGTTGCTTTGTGACCAAACAGATGATTACGTACCAATTTGACGTAAAATAAAATGAAGAACTTGACGGCACCCATTCCTGGCATAATTGGGCTGAAAAATGTTCCAATCCTAAAAATAAGAAAAGAACCCTCTAATGAAAACTTACATGCAGCCCTGACTAAGAAATACAATAATTCAAAAGTTTTCATTTACCGCTGTTTTTCTGTATCCGATTGGGCAAACGTTGTGAGATAAAAGATTATATTTACACTAAAATTCACAATGATCTTCTCACCACCAAAACCCTACCAACAAAAGTGTCCGAGGAAGTTGAAGCTCATGTATGCTCAGGTACTTTCCCTTCATCGTATTTTGGTTTAGCCTGTGAGCAGGCTCTCGTACACCCTCCAGTACAACTGGTGAAGTACACGAGAGTTAAATCCGGCAATCGAGGCGAGCGTACAAAACTTTTTTTGCTAGACCCGTCGCACACCTCTTGCATAGCTCGCGAGCTCGAAACCCGAGAGCTTCGCTGCTTGTGTCATAGCACGACTGAGAGCCTCATTTTATGCTAAGTATATAGTTTCACCTTAACCCTAACAAGACCAGACATCCCAAAGAACGCAAAAAACTCACCAAATCAAACATTCGCCATACACAAGTCCTAAGACCTCTTTTGGAATGTCAAACACCGGCATGCCAACCTTCTTGAAGCACTGTGTGTGTTTATACATCAATCTATGAGATTAAAGGCCATTATGTAAGAACATTTTCATGGAAGATGCAACGAGAGGTTCCTTCAATGGTTAGAATTGAATCGAGAAGAATAACTCTGGCAAGTACATTCATAATTCAGACGTTCTTCGCATAGAAAATAAGGCCATCATGTCCTTCGAATTTTCCATATCAATAACCTTATATATAAATCTTTAAAGGATCTGTGGTGACTATCAACCATAGAAAAATTCACTTCCTTGACTAATTAACTCCCTTGAAAATATGTCTACAGACGAGAATGGCGAAGAATTTCCGGTGACTATTTAGTTACCAAGACTTGAAGATGCGGTTGAGGGACGAAAAGTGTTTATCCAAAGGGAATATGATAAAAAATGTCAAGCCCTGAAATGAAATCTAGTATCAAATCCAAACATTCAAACTTCAATTATAATTACTTACTCACTGCACAGTGGTAAACTTACTTCCACAACGTAGTAACGATAATAGTTGAAAATATATTAATAAAAAAGTCAGTCCATATCAACATATACATCTGTGAAGCGATCTCGTTCTCCCAGAACTGGAAAAAAAAAATAAAAAACCTGGTTTACGATTGAAATGAAATTTTGTAGGAATGATGATATGAAGAAGTACTGGGTTCACATAATTGGACGTGTTGCTTGTACTTTTTAGTTAAAGGGAGAAATAAAGAACGACTCAGCGTCAGATCTAAGGGGGTGAGACAATTCCAAAGATTTTTGTCCCGTAACGCTCTAGGTCTCTATTTTTCTGACAATAATGTAACCACTCCAGTAACGCCCAAGATTTGAGCGGTTACTGTTCCTTGTAAGGGAGCCTTATTAGGAGGGGCATGCGGTCTCGATCTGAACCCTTTTTTTTTTCTTTTTTATCCTGAAGCTGCCTTACCTGTTTACAACACATCTCTGGGCTTGTTTCGCAAGTTTCGCCAACTTGTGTGTATATCTTCAGCATAAGCACGACTAATGAAGCCAGCTTTAAGATAATATTTCTGTAATGGGATAATCAGACAAAAGAGAGCTGTAAGTAGACGTATCTATTTCCTTCCCTGGCAGCTGTGAAGCCAGAGAGAAGTTTCACGGACAGTTTAGTTGGTCATTTATGGAATTTTTATTATGTCGATAATTTTTCTCAGTTACCATTCAGAGAAAACCGGAATAAGTTTGAGTTCTGGTAGGGAGGCTTGCAGTGCAATCTTGGGTGGGACATTTTCAGTCTTAGTGAAGCAGTGTTTAAAATGAAAGTGTAATTTAGCTCCTACCTGTACAAAGTTATGTTAACTTCAAATGCTGGACTCCAATCCTCAAATTTTGCTAAAATATTAAAAATCTGAGGTAGTAAGATATTTAGAATGGTGATCGTTAGCGAAGGGGCAAAGCGCAATATTTCCTCTCCACTTTGAAATTGGCTTGCTTTCTCAATAATTTCCTGTATAAGAAAGAGAACAAATTCCTGTATTAGTTAAGGGTTGCTTGATTGGAAGTGGAAACTAGAAAGAAAAAAGGGAAGAGCTAAAAGGAAAAATAAACGGGAGGAAAGCAAGATGCGCTTGAAGGAAAATAGATGAAAGTTAGGTAAACGATTGCCCCCTCTAAGTAAAAACGAAATTTCTTTCAATTAAAAACATTTTTAGACCTGCTTTCCCTAATTCTTTAACTCCCAGAGGTGATTAACTTCTCCCTGTAATATCCATAAATTTTTCAGCAAACAGGTAATGAGAATGCAAGAACTTATCTGGTAGTTGTTATCGTGATCTAACACCAAATTCTCATAACTAATTCCCGAGGAAATGGGTAACAGCTGGAGGGGAGACTTTACAATCAGATTTCGGGAGTTAAAGGGATTAAGTATGTTTTTGCTTCCGCTTACCCCGAACCAAAAATATATTAATAAAGCAAATAAAGCATTTCAGAAAAAAGAAAATGATCTTATTTCTGCCGGTCAGAGCTCCATTTGTAGGAAAGCGTTGTATCAGGAACCCAACAGCAGGAGTACGGGTGGATGAAAGTTGACTGAATGAACTGGCTTATCTTTATTGTAACAGATGATTTAGGAGTCGGATGAAGGGGGCAGTAGAGCGATATATATATATATATATATAACTAACTGCAGACAGTACTGTTTCGGCCTTCTGGGCCTCATCAGTGCAGTGCTAATGCTAGGATGGAGATAAGGCTATATAGCCGCCCCAAGTGATCTCACACATGTGGTATCATCTAAGCCATGCCAGAGTGCTCAAACTAGATAAACTAGTGAGCATATATATATATATATATATATATATATATATATATATATATATATATATGTATGTATATATATGTATGTATATATATATGTACGAATCGTCCACAGTGGTCTTATGTTCTATTAGGGACAAAAAGGACCTAATCAGTGTCATGATAGTTGCAATTACGATAAATGTTTTACTTACCGGATCTGTAGAAGCTGATAAAGATAAAATGATGGCATAAATTGCCCCTCCAAGTAACCCTAACACCAGCAAGAAGCAAACAATTCTTATTGTGTAGAGCTGACACTTTATTTGAGTCGTTCGATTTTGTACTTTTTCCTGTCGTTCTTCTTCAGCAAATTGAGCCTGAGTTAGAGAATACAAAGAATCATTCGAGATTATTTTAAAAACTAGAAACTACTTCTTGTTTCATCATAGCTTGTCATGGCGAAAGGAATTCAAAGTCTTGGTCCTCGATTCTTTTATCAAAGCTAATAATTTTTACAAAGGACATACCTTGACGTTTTGCAAGAAACTCAGCTCCTTTTCCTGGGCGGTTTTCTCATTTGTGATGCAGAAATCCCAACCCGCAAAAATCTGGTTGCAGAATGAAGACAGGCTCCCTCCACTATCTAGGTACGTTTCTGCTAAACTTTCCCCTAAACTAGAAAAGAGAGACATGCAACATTTTTTTGCTGGAAAAAGGTGATGGCAAGTCACCTGTAGAGTCTGAAGCATAACTAAATAACTGATCAGGGTTTTTCGTTACCGGTTAAATTATGTAAAATTTACAACAACAACCCAGCCAGTAATCTTGAACAAAAAAAGGGTCGGAAAAAGCGTATTACCCTGACTAACAATGAACTTTGCCAGTTGCATGTATGGAATGTCCTCTTTGATACCTTATTTCTTTCACGTCAACATGCCCCTCATCTCAAATAAACAAAGTAATTCCTACATTGTGGACATATTCACTCGTTCTTTCAAGTTAATATGTCAAAAATCCTTCCTCGGATGAAGTTTTTCGACATCCTACTAAGGCAAGAAAGGTTCATCAAAGCTGTTGTGGTTTGTTCTGGTTGGTTGATTTTTGTTGTGGTCTACATATCGCCAAAATAAGGTTTTTAGAAGATCAACATAGAAGAGGACTAACTCATTACGTCAGGGTAAGACGGAAAAAAATCACAAAAATAAAGAATCTGATTTAAAAAGCATTATGAACCTGGTCAAAAAAGTCAAAACCGCCAGAGTGTGGCCAGGGTGGTCATTTTGGAACCGCTTTTTGTGAAACAACTTAATAATAGGAATAAAGTCAAGAGGTGCAAATTTAAATACTTTCAACCGGGTCGGGTTGGAATCATTTTATATTGCTTGGAACCTTAAATGGCTTCTGCTGTCAAGTGTAAAACCTAGTATCATGGCTATATTCCTTTTTTCCTCGGTAATTTTACTATTATTATCCAGTGATGTATGAGACACACAACTTAACGGCGTCTTCTTCGGATGCATTTATTCACGTGAGAGAGCTAAAGGACAAACAAATGTCAGAATATATATCAAAATATCATATTTCTAAGCTAGCTACAGCGAAAGTAGTGAAGGCTTCCCCGATAATGATCGCAATCGCTATTTTGTGGGCTATCTTTCTATATTATAGTGGCACTGCTATATCTTGACTATGTAAATTACTGGGCAATATCATTTCCTATCTGGTTGGCGTCCTACAGCCGCATTTATCCTTGTATTAATTGCGCCTTTGGAGAAAACTTTAAAAAGTGGACTATAAAATTTGTATGCAAATGTTCGTATTTCTCGTTCACATTCGAGAGTATAAATCTTCTGCAAAAAATGCTGAAATGATATTAATCATTTCTCCCTTCTACTTTGTCTAAGTGAAAAACATCGTGATTTTTTAACTCAATTTTATTAACGATAATTTATTGGCGATAATTCACGACAATGCGACTTTATTTCTCATAAACTCTGCGGATACACCTTTGAACAACCGCAATGTCGGTGTCCCTCTGCTCCATCAGTTTCAATTTGTCCGTTGTTTAATTGGAAGGATTAGGTGAATTAGAAGGATTAGGTGGATTAGGAGGATTAGGAGGATTAGGTGGATTGGAGGGATTAGAAGGATCAGGTGGATTAGGTGGATTGGGTGGATTGGGTGAATTAGAAGGATTAGATGGATTAGGAGGATTGGGTGAATTAGGTGGATTGGAAGGATTAGGTGGATTAGGAGGATTAGGTGGATTGGAAGGATTAGGTGGATTAGGTGGATTAGAAGGATTGGGTGGATTGGAAGGATTAGAAGGACTAGAAGTATTGGGTAGATTGGAAGGATTAGAAGGACTAGAAGGAGTGGGTGGATTAGAGTGATCGGAAGGATTGGTGAATTAGAAGGATTTGGTGGGTTGGAAGGATTAGGTGGATTGGAGGGATTGGAAGAATTAGCAGGGTTGGGAAGGATTGAGTGGATTAGAAGGATTAGGTGGATTGGAAGGATTAGGTGGATTGGAAGGATTAGAAGGATTAGGTGGATTGGAAGGATCAGGTGGATTGGAAGGATTAGGTGGATTGGAAGGATTAGAAGGATTAGGTGGATTAGGTGGATTGGAAGGATTAGAAGGATTGGGTGGATTGGAAGGATTAGGTGGATTGGAAGGATTAGGTGGATTGGAAGGATTAGGTTGATTCGAAGGATTGGGTGGATTAGAAGGATTAGGTGGATTAGAAGGATTGGGTGGATTGGAAGAATTGGGTGGATTGGAGGTACTGGATTGATTGGAAGGATTGGATGGATTGGGTGGATTGCAAGAATTGGAGGATATAAAGGATTGGATGAATTGGGTGGTTTGACTGTATTGGGTGGATTCGAAGGATGTGATGGGTTGGAATGAGTGGATGGATTGGAAGGATTAGGTGGATCGGGTGGATTGGCTGAAAGTAAGCTACAGTTGGATGCCATACATAGGCAGCATCATCAACAATTATAACATGAAAATCCTAACCAACAACAACATTCCACTGCAAAACGGATGCAACTGTAGAAAAAAAAGACCAATGCCCGCTCGACAACAACTGCCTCATCACAAGCGTAATCTACTAAGCTAACGTGACCACAGACAAAGACGACACAGGAAAGAACTACATCGGACCAACAGAGGGAACATTCAAACAACGATACACGCAACATAAATCACTCCGTCACAGGAAATACGCTAACCGCACCGAACTAACAAAACACATTTGGAAACTCAAGGAAAACCATGAAAATTACAAAATAAGCTGGTCTATCGAGCGCTCACAACAATATTTCCAAACTATACAACCATTGCCTAACTGAAAAACTCTACATTATTAAAGCCAACAAAACAAGCAACCTCAACAAAAGAACTGAATTAATTTCCAAATGCCGCCATGAGAACAAATACTCCCTACTGAACATCGATCTCAGATTACAATAGACCCACCAATTGACTAACCACTGTATATATTTAAGCTAAGTGAGGTCTACTCTTCATTAATATATATATATATATATATATTACTCTTCATTAATATATATTTATATATATATATATATATATATATATATATATATATATATATATATATATGTTCACGTTAGAGTTATCCAAAACTAAAACTGTACTACTCTTAGCCGCATTGACATAGAGGGTGTGCAAGAGATTAGAAATGACACCCTCAAGTATACACTACCCAAGAGGGCATGGAAGATATTAAAGATTAACCCTCAGGTAAACATTACTAAAGAGGGCACGAAAAATTGAATTCACACAAATCAATATCATGAGATCGTTCTTTGTCTGGACTCTTTCTTTTGACTAAAAATTGAGGCATCCATTAGATTTAGTAACTCTAGAAAGCTCAGCCGATCCATCGAAGACTTCGACCTCCATGATGAGATCGTGCTAAGTGATTTCAATCCAAGATTTATTGTGTTTTCGTAATTGAAATTTGCGCATAGATGAAGTACTAATCATTAGGTGAACCTTTAACTTATAATCAACAGGTTTAAGTAACCGCATAGACACCTACCGGCCGCAAACATCTCTACACTAATGACAGAAATATAGCACCATCGTAGAATGCATGCTGCGAGTCTTTTTCGAGGCCAAAGCTCCTCATGCTATGGCGCGAAATACCGAAAAAGAGAATTTTTACGAATGCAAAATCAGGTAATGGTTTGTAAATCGGAAGGTGATGTGGATAGTTTTGAGGTCACGGCTCCTTGACCTAGGATTTAAGGGTAATCCGAGAAAACGTCACTATAAGGACGAGGCATAGAAGGTTTGATGAACTTGTTTACTTATTAGATTTATGGAAATTCATAAATAACTGGATACCCAGATAACCTGTTGAGATTGTCGCATGCAATTTTGTCCTTTTTCTTATTTTTCTGACAACTTTCTCGAAACAGCTATATGTAAATAAAATTATGCGATCCTAAGTGACAAACCTTCGGACCACAAGTATGAGACTGAGGATAAAAAAAGACCATCCGACCAGGAGATAAGCTAACGGAAGGTTATATTTGACACCGGCATTTGATATCAACTCTGAGTCCCCGTATCCAGCGTAAAACATCAATGTTGTACTTATCCAGCCCTGAAAGTCAACAATAAGGAAAAAATTGTTGTTATCCTTGGCCGCTTCTATGTTAAACTTTCAATCTGCCATAAGGTGCGTTCAGTTGAGTGTCATTCAAAAGAAACCAACGCGCTAAGAATGAACAGCCAATCAGAATGAAGAGGAAATTACAGCAAATTCAAAGAAAACACAAGCCCGTTATCCAGGAAAACGCTAGTGACACGAGTGGTCAAGGTCTTCTACGGTTGCATTTGATTAGTAAGTGACAGAGTGACGCAGGGTTCCTAAACCAGTTAAAGAGAGAACTTGAAGAAAAGCAACGCATATCTCGGATTACCATCGCCATTCTACTAATAATTGCAACTGATAGAGGACAAATGGAAACAATGAAAGGTAATTCCTTACTCTATGGTTTCTTCAGCTCAGTCGCTGCTATATCTCTAACTACCTGTTTTTAAAACAAGTGCAATTTGTTGCGATAGATCTGTTTTCAATCGAGTGTCGAAAGTAATCGGAAATTGATTTGGTTTTACTTTACTTCGTTTACTGATTAGTCCAAAAAACTTGCGCCTCTTTCGCGACTTATCAGATTCAAAACGAACACAAATTGCGACATGGCCACCCGTGTTTTCCCGCGTTTCAGGCACCGTTTCAGGTAAGTTCTCATTGGCTCCTTGTAACATCTTTCTTAGCTCTGATTGGCTGTTGTGGTTACTTTGAGTTTTCTTTGTCAACACTTAATCAAAAAGTGATCTAAAATGTTCACTGATGTCTGCCAGAAAAACTCACCTTTCCAGAAATAAAATCTGCAACTTCATACCCTGCAGCAACAGCAGCACTCGACGTGTTTCGTTGTTGCGTCTCGGCTGTGGTAAAGGTGCACGAATTTGAAGTTATGCTTGGCTCAATGATTACTGATGGTAATGTAACGAATCCAAATTCCAAAATGAAGGTCGCCATGTTAAGGAAAAACAGTAACTTGAGAAAAACAAAGAAGGACGATACTCCATTTCCGAAGCGACCTTCAGAGGAAATAGATGAAAGAATCAGTGAATCCTCCTTTGTAAATGCGAAATAGTTTAAAAATAACTTTGGATTTCTCTGCCTTCGTTCATAAACCAAAAAATAAATGAATCAATAATGCGATAGAAAAAAAATTAACCAATATGACTCATATGTCGTGTTCAATACAGAAGAGAATTCTGGAATCTTATTGACCAACCTACATACTTTTTTTGGTATAAAATGATTGATTATAAGAGGTCAGTTGGGTCATATACCGCCTATGAACATTTCAAAAAGGGGCAGTGAAACTTAGATGGTAATTTTACCTCGCCCATTTTCTAACTGGTCATAAATTACACTTTACAAGGTTTTAATGTCTAAAATCGAACACTCGCATCTAAAATCAGACATCAGTGTCGAAAATCAGACACTAGTGTTTTAGTCTACTAAAATCGGGCTATAGAGTCCAAGATCGGACACTATGTCCAAAAACATTAGTGTCCGAAACCAGACACTGATGTCCTGGTGTCTAAAATAAGACACTAGTGTCTGATGTTGGACATTAGCGTCTAAAATAAAGCACTAGTGTCTAAAATGGTATACTGGTGTCTAAAATTGGACACGTGATTAAAATCAGACAATAATGCCCAAAAACAGCCTGATGATGATGTTTCTTTTTTTTTTAAGATTTCTATGAAACACAACAATAATAGCATCCAAATATGATTGCCTATAGACGGTCCTTTTTGTGTACCTTCTACACGTTTTAGATGTCCTTTCCATAGCTCGTAATCCCGACTCCACTCTGAAACTGCTGTTTTGGTCAACTTCCATGACTTTTAAGGGGTAAAGGAAAATAAGAAACGTGAAAAAAACTCAGCAATATGTAATAAATAAATGCTTTCTGAGGTGAGCTGCTGACATTTAGCTCAAGTTGGATTTATTCAGTTTGATTCAAGAGATAGTTATCCTACAATTCCCTATTCTAGAAATAAATGATCACAAAACGAATTCCTTCATATCAAAGCTTCCCATTGTCACTTTATTCAGTCCTACTTCTTTATTTTGATTACTGGAATATTCATAAATTTTTTTTTTTAATCGGACATTAACATTCGAGAATCCAAGGTACTTTTGCTCAGTTGAACTGTTTACTGAGATGGTCTGGGCCAGTGGTTGATGTATATCAAAAGGAAAGGTAGTCAATCAAAAACCCGCGATGTGTTTTGCCAAAATGGCGGCCGGGCGAAAAAACCTCTAAAACTTTATTCTGTGAATTGCGTATGATACAGTTTCTGTTGTTTAAGTGTGTTCTAAAGCGTACTTTATGAGACAAAACATTTTGATGATTCTTTTATTTATTATTACATTTCTCTTGGCCAATCAGCGCGGAGAAATTTTTTTGGTGCATGTTAGTCGCCAATAGATAACGTTACTTACCATGGCGATTTGCATTTTGAAGGCTTTCCATCTGGAGATACGCTGTTTTTTCAATCTTTGAGCGTTTTTGATCGACTTCCTATAATACAAAAGATTCATATTTTCTTGAAGGGAAACTGTGGAAATATTGCGATCACAAGTGAGATTTAAGTTCAAGATTAAAGGGAAGATCAAAGATTCATGTGGTGTTCTGGTAGATTCAAGAGAGGCACGCTGTAACGAAGATCGGAAAAGTGATGTTTCGAGCGTCATCCCTTGGCTCCACTCCGCTGCCTGTAGCGAGCGTTTAATTAGTCCGTAAACCGAAGCTTAATAAACGAGGCGCAAGTGGCACGAGACTTCCAAAGAAGATTACTTGGAAAGGATTGCGCCCAAGCCCCACTTTTTTTCACTATCGCGCCTCACCGCACCTCGTTTACCAACTGAACGCCCGTTACTGGCCATTTGCTTCGATGTTGGGCAAAAGCTCACGACCTCAAACTTTCAAAAGTTATCAATGCCGTTTATCTGCCTTCCTCAAGTTCGTAATCAAGTTAAAATGTTACTTAACAGTTGAGGGAGCTCACCATATTCTTTTAATTGTTACTGACCCACCTACACTCGATCAGGCTAACAAGGTTTTCTAACCGCTTGCCTAACTATCTGAATTACGACGGAGAACTACCGGTTCTCTCCAATCGATTTTTGGAGAGACGGTTTCAGAATGTTTTTAAACTTGCGTGCTCATGTCAGTTAATAGAGAAAAGATATAAAAAAATCTCGAGCTTGTTAACTCGTAGGGAGAAATTTGAAGGGAATGAGTTAGCCTCCGGAAATTAGAACATAAAAAAAATGGGACGAACAATTTCTTTCGCTGTCCATGATTTCTCCTCTCAATTTATTTTCCTCTCCTCAAAATGAGATCCACTGGGATTTTTGCAAAATGTTTCAGAGCAAGGGCTAACGCTCGGAACACAAGCTCTACAAAAGACACCTGAGCGGTTTATTGACATTCAGCAACTTCTAATTGCAAAATGTTCTATCTACTCGCCCACGCAGCACAACAGGTTCTATAAAGACTAATTACTTTGTGTGGAAAATAACCTCTTATTTGTTTTTCAAACGATTTAAATCGGACATGGAGTGCACCTGATAGCGAGAGAACTATCAATTGCTTTGATTTATTTCTTTTGACATGCAAAACAACAATCCACATACAATTACGTGCTGCAAAAATAGACGCAAACTCCCCAAGGTGTTACGATTTTTCATTCAAAATTTCTTGCGCAATTGAAAACATTGTTCAGCAGTCGATAAAATTTTCCAGCATTTCCAATATATTTTTGAACCAGATTAAAACGAAGATGCCAAACATGTGCGTTGGTTAAGGTAAAGTGTCTTAAAATCTCAATTTATTCACCTTATCGTCCGAGCCTCTTTATGATAAGTCCATCAAAGATTTAAACAAAAATCTAATAAGTGTACTAACAACCATGCCAAATAAACACTTTCGTTACTGAACACGACACAGGCCGAAAACTTGCCATGACACCGAAAGCTAATTTGGAGGACGAGATTATACTCGAAAACAAGTTTATAAAAACTTTTTTGTGGAGTTCGGTAATATTGGCTGTAGTGACGCCATAAACCTCTAGTGAATCCCTCGTTGCAGATTACTGAGACTTAAAAGATAAATATTTTTATTCGTTTTACCAGTGCTGTAAAGGCATATTATGTATTTCTGAAAAATTGCATCCTCGCGAAAATATAACAGCTTTCGTTGAAAGGCGCAAGAAATTACCGGGCCGATTCTTAAATGAACTATTATTAATGAAAAGAGATGAAAAATACCTAATTAGACGGAAGGTGTGTTGTGAGTCTATTTATTTTGATATCCAAACGGAGCCATGCAGTTAAGTCCCTTATAAGTTGAATATTTGTCTAAATGGTACGTTAATAAGCTGATTAGCAAACAACTTTCTCAAGCAAAGATAACTGCTCATTCTGACCTAGCCAAATGCAGAATAGACCGGCCAATTTATACATACGATGGTTTGAGGTTGTAAACAACAACTGTGGAGCTTTCTGAAGCGAGAGGTTATTCGAGATCGAAAGGCCATAAACACTTCTAAAGCCGTCCTGCGCGCTCCATCGCGCTACTGTTTACAGTTTCGAAGCCATGTTTTCCCAATAATTAAATGACAAAAAACTGACCTGTATAGCCTCCTTTCAGACATACGTCTGGTGACCTCCTTTGGAGTCGGTAACCATTCATCAGCCGCATCGGCATTTAAGGCATTAAGCTCAAGGTCGTTGTTAGCATTCCTCAAGGAAGCACGTCGTAAAGAGCTCCTTCTATGAGCTTTTGTGCTGCCCGCGGGAATGTGGATTGACCTGAAGCCTGATTCAGGGCGGACATTTCCCCGCGATCGCTGAGTCTGTGGTTCAGGGGTATCCGCTTCATCTGATTGAAAATGTTCTATATTCAAAGAGTCTTCCAAATCTTCACCACTCTCTAAATCTGCGTTATCAATGAAAACAATTTTTTTTAATATATTGTAGAAAATAACTGAAAACTCCTCGTGAGAATTAAAACTCATTAAGAACGTTCTTTCCGAGGGAGAATTATTTGGATGTCAACTCAATGAAGCGAAAATCTGTACAAAATTAGAAGACGATGATGGTCGAATATCAGTTCCAAAACACTGATGCTTACTGTTAGCACCGATAGCTTTCAATATCACTTGCAGACTAACCTTTAGCTGGTGCCACTCGGTTCATATCTGTCAAGTTTTACGCATTCCTATCCTGAACGAGCATCGATCAAACTAATCTCTGAGTAAACATACAAGTGCGTTCCTCTGTTTTGCAGTGTGATTATTAGGTATACAAGAAACGCTCAATTATGATATGAATTATGCATGACTCGTAGTTCGTTTCCAGGAAACGATCGTGGTAGTGTTAAATATCTGAAAAATTAGGAATGGCTTCATTAAATTAAATCCGGGGGCACGGACACAAGAACAATAACTGATAACTTTAAATAGCAGGTTCTGCAATATGTAAAGTGAACTATATCAGGCCACCGATTTTTTAAATCAAAGAACCTACAAAAGAATCAATTAAAAAGTCTTTTAACGTCCGGGCGAAACTGGTTCCACCACAGTGTGTAGAAAGACGCTCGAGTGCGCTATTTGTTATTTTTTTTCGTAGCAAGGTGCGTTTAAACGCTTCGTAAGTAAGTAAGTACAAACAAATCAAAGGTAAACAAGCATGAGTCCAGTTATAACTAAACTAAGGTTATCATGATTTATAGACAGTTCAAAAGTTTTCAGTATTGTTAGCAATTGTTGTTAGACAAAGACTATCCGACTGAATTTAACTAACGGTCGATTTGGTAACTAGCATTCAACACAAGTCGTTGCAGCTTCTTTCCCCGCAAAAGATGGTCAACACTAAATTAATGTGAACGTTTCTGTCGTTATTCAATCCCTCCCACTAGTCCTGACAAACAACATCGAATTATCATTTCATAGACTAAATTGCAAGGTTATTTTTGGTTATCATGGATACGCGGTAACAAACAAATCCTGTTTACCATATCAATGATTCTAAGACAATTTTAAGAGATTCTTTTGTGTTACCTATTGTTCCAAAAGGTTTCTGTAGAAAATGAAAATGAAATGCAGAAAAGTATGCCCTACTGCTTGAAGCAGCAGATGTCGTTGCCAAGGGTTCTCAAATACAAACGCTGAACGCAGAAACATTAAAACAATTCTTTGCTTCTGCTATGATGGGTTAGCTTCCGAAGACGTGGAAAGTCATACAAAAACACACAGCGAAAGACAAAGGGAGAGCGAAATGATTTCCTTTCTATATCAAATAAGTCTCAGAAGATAGAGATCTAGATTCAGAGTTGCTCTGTTTTTTTTTCCTACGGTTTTGGTAATTTTCAGGATATACCTGGCGACTAAAGATTTGTTCACGTGACCGAATAACCCAAGTCAGGCTCTCAGGCACGAGCTAAAGAGTTGATGCGAGAGAAACCGCAGCCGTTTTCTCGTTAGCCGCCGTTTTTCACGTAACCACCCTTCAGTTCGACTTCATTTAACCCTTTACATCCTAAAAATAAGTATGCATATTCTCTAGAACGCTCTTAATGCATTTCGTAAGGTGCCGACAAGGAGAAATTGTTTACCAATCAAAAGCTCTTGTCGTTGGTGATCATTTCCTTTATTCTCATTACGTTAACGTGTGATTCAGTAGTGATATGGTAGGGAGAAATTTGATGTTAGTCACTCTTAGGGTTTAAAGGGTTAACAAGATCCAAGATCAGGCGACCAACTACAAACCGATGAAATTCCAGAGTAACTGAATTTAACCCTTCGCCAACCTTCTAGCCGTCGATTGAGGATAATAATTAAAACAGTTGGGAGTTAAAATGGTGAAAAAAATAACAGCAATTGTAATGATAATAAAGACGGAGCCAACTGACCTCGGACAGAGCCGTCCACAACAAGATGTAACCGGACGAATGCGATGGAATTATTTGAAGAGACGTAACAGACCGAACGGAAACGGAACAGTCCGTGAAGGACTGAACCATCAAAAATCAGACGGAACCCTCCGGAATTGAATGCAGTGTCCGAAATCAGACGAATCCTCTGAAGTCGAGATTGTCGGAAACTGGCGGGAACCGTCGGAATCTAGACGGAAACGTTTAAAATAAGACGGAATCTCCCCTCAGTAGAAAAAGTGGTTACTTGCTAATCGAAATCTTGTAAAACTCAACGTAAGTACCCCAAAGAGTGAGTCACCCGCGATACATCCCAAGTTGAGCTGTAATAATGATCCATTGAATCACGAACAGTGGGTGATTTTAGGCTTAAACTCAGGAGATACCAAACTTAGCAGACAACAGTCTTAAGGAATACGCAATAGCATATTACTATTCATAGGTACTCAACTCGGCAGTATATTGATAAACTCGGTGAGAATGACATAATTGCAACTCGACTGTGCCTTTTAATAAACATTCACAACACATTCTTTATTTAATCTCCATCCTGAGAAATTTTAAATTACCAAGAATTAATTAGTACTTGTGTGACTCTGTTAAACTGAATTGCTATGAATTTCCTTGCCACCTAGCTTAACACTTTACATCGATGCCGCAGTACAGTGCCTGGATTATTTAAGTATAGTATATACCACACAATTAAATACTGCTTTTCACGCGTATTGATTGGCTACTTTGGAAGAGATAAGCTAGTAATATTCACTTCCGAGAAGTCGAGGAGACAAAATTGCGCGTCACGAGTTTAATTCCCAACCATTTATTGGTATATTGTCAGAAATAAACAATTTTGTTCTTAATTTTTTTTGTGGTCTATACGAAAAGTTTCGGTGGAACATGGTGGATATTTACCTCCACCTGAGGGAACAATTGCTAACAATACTGAAAACTTTTGTTCCATAATTCGCAACAAAGATATTAATTGTGAAAAGTCAGCGTAGCAAGTACTGTTATTGCTAACGTATACAAGGAAACCAAAATTTCAATAATTCATAAATAGCCACAAATATAAGCGATCATCACTCAGCTGGAATGAGAAAACGCTCTAAGCATTAAGTTAAAGTACACAGAAATATAAGGAAATTTTTTTACATCTGATATTTGAACAAAATAGTCAAACTAAAAACAATTCTACTCACTCTACTTAAAGAAATGATCGAAACGTAACTTCTCTTCGTAATTTCAATTTCGAAAAAATTTTCAAAGAGAATTTATTCTCACTTCAGCTTGAGGATGCCATCCTGTCGTAACACCTAATTCTCCTAACTATTTTACAACGGATAGCATCGCAACTCTGATGTCCAAATTAACTTGCAGCAGTCTCGTAATAATTAAGAAGGGTAACAGACACATAACGACGACTGAAGGCAATTCACAACAAATGAACTTCATATGAACCAATCAGAAGAAAGAAATTTCAACAGCTGATATTAACACCTAATGGGAAACATAAGCGGTTCAACTCTTGAATTTTCTGAATGTCCTACTAACTACAATGATCAATTAAATTCCTATTTTGCAATTCGTCTTCATGCCACGCCTAAAACCCATACCCTTAATCATTAGAATAAAAAATTTCCCACATCAAAGAAGAAGCTAAAACTAAAAAGATTTTACAATATCTAAGAGGACGATCCAGATCTCCTTTTCTTGCAGGTTCAGCTGTTTTACTCCTTGGAAAACAACTTACGTCAAACTTTTTGGGTCTTTCACCAAACAACCTCAGGCTAAAGGTTTTTTAACTTAAACTTCTTCTTAAAGAGATTAACGCCAGTAGATGCATCAACTAACGCATCGTGGGACATTTCTTAGCAGTCACTAACTTTAGAAATTAGTAAATTTAAAGGAATCTTCACGAACTACCGGAAGTTAAAACTCAATAGAGGGCTAAGTACAGTGTCACTGAAACTAGTTTCGTGTTATAAATCGCTATATTTTACAGCTTTCCTGGTGCAATCAATAACTATCTAAATTTCCATAGCACAAGAAAAAGGAAACTAACCAGTACTGGCTAAATGTCATATAATTGGGAACAATTCACCCTTTTAATCATTCAAAAAGGTGCCGCAAAGTGTGCAGTAACAAAATAATGACAAAAAATTGAGACATTTTGCAATTCAATCAGTTCCACAGGGCAGAAACTATGAAGGAACCAGTGGAAAAAAAATACAACTCTCCTTTAAACCCTGATTTTCATGACACCAATTTGGAAAAATAAGAAAACCAAAAGAAGGCAAAAATTCGAAGTAAAACTCCAACTCAATTATATCACCCTAAATTCCCAGAATGGATACGCTATGTTTTTGCTTCCTAGCTACATTATGCATACAACAATACATACATAACACATATTTATTACAACTTATTCAAATTGGATTTATCTATTTCGAGATAAATTGTGCTAAAATGAAACGCAGTCATAGAACAAGCCAACTTATCCTCCTTACGCAGCAAAGACGATATTCACAGGACGCATGCAGCAGGGCCGATTACCTATAGACAACTCAAATTTCAAGCGGTAATCGAAAGCCATGCGAGATTGCATTTGTTTTGCTTCATATCACTGTCTTACCAGTGAATAAAAAACTAGAGCCCTCCCCTTCAACCAAGCATTCAGATAAAAACCTAAAACCAATCGTAATTTGGTTCCACCTCTTTTAACCAAATGTCCCACCCCTTTCCCTGTGCCCGCACCACTGAACTCTCGGTGAAATTTTGATATCTGCCTTGTTTCTAATTGGCCGTTGTGAATACTGAGTTGAGGTTTTAGAACGATCAAAAAAGAAGAAAAAAAAAATAGGAAAAAAGCTTTCCCTTACATGTTACTTGCATCCCTTTCGTTCACATTTACAACCACACCACAAAAGGGAACAAAGCAGCTTGTCTGAGCTCGCTTCTTAAGGAATAATACTTACATCTTAATTACATGGGCAAGCCACATTTTTGTGTTTCTTTCAACAATATTAGAAATACCTTACCATTTCACGCAAGCGCAAAACCGGAAACATCTCCCGAATACATTTCATCACCTAGCTAGGTAAATTAATCAATAATTCTTAAACTTTAATGTCAGTGTCGCTCGATGGCTCTTTCTCTTTCGCTGGGAAAGCAGGATTCACGAATGAGAATCCATGGAAGTCATTCTGGTTGATGTTGGCGATAAAGGATTTGTCACAAGGTGTCAGTCTGGCGGCTTCGTCCGTGAACTCTGGGTCGAAATTGTCAAAGGAACGTTTGGATTTCTGTTGAGGGACAAATGCACAAAAAAATGAGTAAACTATGATGGCACGTAAAAGAATAAAATTCCACTAGATCATACAATCGGAACCGAGTAAAGGAAATCTCAGTGGTTACAAAATACACAGTTCATTTAAAAAATTTTTGTTTTTAAATT